TGATCCTTTTGGTCCAGTGCTACACCAGGCAGCTTAGTGGTCGTAAAGTGATAACTCATTATGGTTTTGATTTGTATTTCCCTAACAGAGCCCTCCTGGCATGGTCCTGTAGGATCAACACTAGACTGTAAATTGGAAGGTCTGCAGTTCAAACCCACCAGCTGCTCCTCAGAAACCTTATACAGGGTCTCTGTGAGTCAGAACCTACTCAATGGCACTTAACAAAAACAATGGAGCCCTGGTGTGGTGCTACAGAATAAGCACTGGACTTCAAACCAGAGGGTCAGCATTTCAAACCCACCAGCTTCTCTATAGAGTCACTATAAGTTGGAACTGACTAGACTGCATATAACAACACCTAATGGAAGAAGCCTGGTGGCTCTGTAGGATAAGCATTGGACTACTTAATTGCAAGATTGGCAGTTCAAACATACAATCTACTTCATAGGAGAAAGATGAGGCTTCCTGTTCCCATACCCTATACAGGATCAGTATAAGTTAGTATTGACTTGATAGCAGTGAGTTAAATGAGTCACTGAGGGAGCCCCTGTAGTGCTCGACTGCTAACAAAAAAGGTCTGTGGTTTGAAGTCACCAGCCACTATGCTGGGTGGGAAGACAAAACCTGGTAGTCTCCTCCTGTGAAGATTACAGCCTAGGAAAGAAATTCTCTGAAGCAATTCTACTCTGTCCTATAGGATCACTAAAAGTTGGGATTCAATCCATGGTACACAAGAATCACAATGGCTAATGACATTCAGCATCTTTTCATGTGAATATTGGCCATTAGCTTTTCTTCACTGATGAAATGTCTGTTCAAACCCTTATTTTTTGATAGAGTCATTTATCTTTTTGTTAAACTGTGTTGTTGTTGTTAAGTGCTGTCGAGTCAGTTCTGACCCATAGTGACCCTGTATACAGTTCCCGAAGAGCAGCTGGTGAGCATGAACCTCCAACCTTGTAGTTCAAACGGCTTTGCAGTCTGGCGCATTAACCCACAGCACCACACCAGGACTCAGGTCTCTATATATTTTGTATATTAATCCTTTACATATTTATGTATATTAAACCCTTACCAAATATGTTTCCCAAATATGTTTCATCCAATCTGTACATTGATCCTTCACTTTGTTGATAAAGTCCTTTGAGGAATAATTTTTTAAATTTTTGATGAACTAATTTATCTTTTTTGTGCTCTCAGTGTCATATAAAGAATTTGTTGTGAAACAATAGGTCCTGAATTATTACCCCTATGTTTTCCCCAAGTTTTAGCCCTTTAGTTTTTATATTAAGGCTCTTGATCCATTTTGTGTTAAATTTTTACAGGATATGAGCTTCATTATTTTTCATGCAGAAATTCAGTTGTCCCAGCACAATTTATTGATATTATTATTTCCTTGTTGAGTGAATTTTGCAGTCTTTGTTGACAATCAGTTGACTGTAGATATACAGATTTATTTCTTGACTCTTAATTCTATTCCACTGGCCTATATGCCTATCATTTACCAATGCCAGACTGTTTTGATTACTGTAACTCTATAAGATGTTTAGCAATCAGGAAGTATGACTCCTTCTACTCTGTCCTGTTTCAAGATTATTTTGGCTCTTCAGGGCCCCTTACAGTTCCACATACAGCTGAAGATTGTTTTTCTCTGTTTCTGCAAAAACGGCTGTTCAAATTTTGATGATGTTTGCATTGACTCTATAGATTACTTTGTTTGGTATTCACATATAAAAGATATTAAGTCTTCCAACTCATGAACACAGAATGTCCTTCCATTTATTTAAGTCTTTTTTCATTTCTTCAGTAATATTTTATAGTTTTCAGTATTCAAATTTTCCATTTATTTCAGTTAAACTTATCCTTCATTGTTTTATTCTTTTAGATGCTACCGTAAATATCTCATTAATTTCCTTTCAGGATGCAATAATTGCTGATGTATAAAAGCCTGACTGATTTTTGTGTGTTGATGTTGTATCCTACCACGTTGCAGAATTTATTGATTAGCTCTATTAGAAAACACCAAAGAATCTATAAGAAAGCTATGTATAAGATCACATTATCTGTGAAAAAAAGATAAGCTTTATTCCTTCCTTTCCAATCTGAATATCTTTTATTTTGTTTTCTTGCCTACTTGCTATGGCTGGTACTTCCAGTACAATATTGAGTAACAGTGGTAAGAGCAGGTATCCTTGTCGTATTCCTGATCTTAAGGGGAAATTTCTCTCTTTCCCTGCTGAGTATGACGTTTCCCATTGCCCTCAAGTTGATTCTGACTCATAGCCAACTCTAGAGGACAGGCGAGAAAAGCCCCATGGGGCTTCCAAGGCTGTAAGTCTGTATGGAAGAGGACTGCCACATCTTTCTTCTGCTAAGCAGCTGGTGGGTAAAAAACCACCAACCTTTGAGTTAGCAGTTAGTGCTGAATCATTGCACCGCCAAGCCCTCTCAGTATGATATGGCTGTGAATTTAATTTTTAAATACCCTTTATGAGACCAT